GGGGGGGGGGGGGGGGGGGGGGGGGCCGCAGTCGCGGCCTTTTTTTGTGATCCCCCAGGTCCCGCTCGCGGCCTCGTGCGGAATCTTGTCTCCAGCGCATCCAACCCGCCTTTCTCAGTCTGCTGGTCATCGGGACCCTTGTCCACTTTGCCTCTCGCGGCAGTGCCAGCCCAGACCGGAGACAGTCCCATCGAGCCCCCGGCGGTGTTCCGTCCCGAGAGAGAGAGAGAGGGCCACTCCTCGGCCAGAACGCCCACAACAAAGGGTAGGCTGGCGATCTGCATCTTTGGGCGGAGAGTCACACAGCTCCGGCGGGAGCGACATACAGGGGCGACGCAACGAGAGGGCACAACCTGCGCCGAGAGAATGAGCACCCTTTTGTGTCCTTGGCGGGGGGCGGGAGGGGGGGGAGGGGGGCGGGCAGGGAGGGCCCCCTCATGGAAGGGGGCCCGGGGGGAGGGAGACACCTGGGAAAGAGGGAGGTGTTGTCCTTGGACGGGTCCCCTTGCTGGAGGGCGATGTGCTCGCCCCTCCTCTCGGAACGAGGAAGGGGGGAGAATAAATCTCCTCGGCGCTTGATCGCACGAAGAAGCATGGTCCAATTTGGCGGAGGGGCGGCGCCGAGGGGAAGCGAGGCCATGTGCGAGCGCGGAGGAGGCGAGCAGAGCGAAGCCCCGACGGTGCGTCGAGGGCGGCATGATGGTCACAGGAGGAGGGGAAGCTGCCATGCGGCTGTGCGCTTCTGGTCGGGCGATGGGTCACTAGGCGGGGACCGGGCCACCCCACGCCCAGGCACGAAAGGAGGGCGATGTTCCGCGATCGCCCGCTCCCCGGAAGACACTCACCTGCCAGACTTCTCGCGGGACCCGCACATGTGTCGTCGGCTCTTTTCGGCATTCGGACGGCCTGGCGAGAATACGCGCAGCGGCCCCGGGTCGACTCTGCCATCGGCCGAGCAACCACGGCCATGCCCGTGTCCATCGCTGGGCGGCCGGCAGGGCAAGGCGCACATGCCCCACAGGGACGCGGGAGCCTCACGCCACCGGTCTGATATCTTTTGCTGCCCATGTGGCTGCCCCAAGCGCGTCGCCTGGCAGTTGCCCCTCCTTGAGGCGTTCCCCTCCCAGGCGCACCGGGGTGTGCCATCCTCAACTGTCAGCCTCGCCAGGCGCGATGCGGGTGTCGGCCTGGCCCTCACACGCACACACTTTCCGGTCGATGGCGTGGCCGGGCCGCCGCCACCAACGTCTCCACAGCTCGAGCACATCGTGTCATCGGCGCGCTCACAGCACGGAGAAGGCCCCCCCCTGTCTTGTCTTCCCCCTTCCTGCGCGGGAGAAGACCGTCTCAGCCCGGGGTCGGGGAAAATAGTGTGCCCAGCTTTTGCCGGATTGCCAAAAAGAATGTGTGATTGGAGTGGGACTCGAACCCACGAGGTTTCCCACTAGTACCTGAAACTAGCGCCTTAACCACTCGGCCATCCAACCAGCTGGTGAAAGCAGCTCGCGCGAAATGGCTATTTATTCTCGACGTGCGACCGGAGAGTCGCCTCCGGCATACGGTTGTCGGCGTTCCGCTCCGCTCACCTCCCCCCCCCTCCGCACTCGCCTCAGCCCGCCCTGCTCGGTTCCCGCCGGGTGTTGCCTCTCCGCCAGCTTGGGTCACACACACACACACACACACACACACACACACACACACACACTCTCTCTCACCGCGAGCGACTGTCAAAAGGACCATTCTCCCTGTCTGCGAAGGTGGCGCGAGCGTCGATCCTCATCCACACCATCCGTTCCCCCCTCTTTTCCCCTTTCCGCCCCATGCGTCTCCTCCCTTCCAGGCATACCCTCTCCCCCTCCATCCAACAGCCCTCCTTTTGCTCGTCTCCCCACCAAGGGCGCAAGACCTTGAGGGCTGCTCAATCTCTTGGCGCAGACCGCGCCTTCCCACTACCTTGTCCCTGCATGTCGCGCGCTCCCGCCGGAACGGTGTGACTCCCCCCCCCCCCCCCCCAAAGATGCAGATCGCCAGCCCTCTCCCCTCTGCTGCGGGTTCTCTGTCCGAGCAGGGACTCTCTGTCGGGACGGGACACCTCCGGGGGGGGGAGGAGGGGGGGCTCTCTCTCTCTCGCCGGGACTCTCCTCACCGGTCCGCCAGAGTCAGCATACGCATGTCGGAACCGGGGTGTTCCAGCCGCTCGTTGGTGTGGCCACACAAAAGCGAGACACCGGTAAAAAGAAGGTGTGATTGGAGTGGGACTCGAACCCACGAGGTTTCCCACTAGTACCTGAAACTAGCGCCTTAACCACTCGGCCATCCAACCAGCTGATGAAGGCCCCGGCGACTCGCGGCCACAAGAGCCGTGGCTCTTTGGATGGAGCTGCGCGGAGTGCCGCCTTTCTTCTCACTTCCACAAGCGGGTGTCCATCGTTCACAGCCCATTGGGCAGGTCTGTCCCTCCGTGCCAAAGGGCCACATGCAGTCACCCATCACGGGAAGCAAGAAAGAGCAATCGATGGCCACCCTGGCACACCAAAGTCGGCGCATTCATTGCTGATTGTATTGGAGTGCCCAGCTAAGGGGGAGAGGGGAAAGAGGGGAAAGAGGGGAAAGAGGGGAAAGAGGGGAGGAGGAGGCAAATGCTCTTTATGTGAAGGCCGCTCTCGAGGCGCGCACGCGTCGGATTCACAAATCATCCAGCGGGATGTCCGCAGGATCCATGCCAGGCGGGATTTCCTGTGACATGGAAGAAGAGGGAGACAACGCGGCGACAGGAGGCTCGGGGGCGGGAGGCTCAGGGGCGGGAGGCTCGGGGGCGGGAGGCTCAGGGGCAGGAGGCTCGGAAGTGGAGGGTGTCTCGGGCACTGCAGCTGACACATCGTCGGGAGACACCGCGTCGGGAGGCACCGCGTCGGGAGACACCGCGTCGGGAGACGCAGCATCGGGAGACGCAGCATCGGGAGACGCAGCATCGGGAGACGCAACATCGGGAGACGCAACATCGGGAGACGCAGCACTCGATGGCGCTGGATGGTCAGGGGTACCATCGGTGGCTGCGGCATCTTCCGGGCTGGCGTCCTCAGCATCGGAGGCCTGATTGGCAGCATCCGCAGTGGTGCCGGAGGCGGCAGATTCTTTTGCCGCTGCCAGGGCGATCTCTTCGCTTGCCTTCGCCTCCCGGGCTCGCGCCCACAGGATGTAGATCAAAACCAAGGCCAAGTTGACCAGCAGCACCACCGGCAGGCAAATGACCAAAATCATGAGCATGGCGGCTACATGCATGTGCGTCAGCATTCGAGCAGCCGCGCGAAAAAAAAAAACAAGACAGGAAGAGCAGGCAACGGAGATACCGGAAAGGGGGGGGGGGGGGAACGGGAAAAGCAGAGGAAAAAGGGAAAAAGAAAAGAGAAGAAGCACGTACATCCTCCGACAACTCCACTGCCAGCTTCAACCAGACCGCATCCCCCCGCGCCGGGCCCATCACACGTGTCGCACAATTCATGACACGCCCAGCAGGCGCCATCCCCCTCGTACCAGCCATCCGGGCAGGCGGCCACACAGCTGCGCGGTCCGTGCTCGCCGGCAAGTCGCACCGGAAGCAGACCCTCATCGCACTGACCACAGTCCTCATGGTGGCCCGGGCAGGCGGCACATCCGTCGCCGCACGGCCGGCACACATTGGCCAGGCGATCGGTGTGCCACCTGGCCGGGCAGGATGTCTCGCCGGCCGGCAGGCAAATGCCCTCGCCAGCCAGCAGCAATCGACCATCATGGCACCGGAGGCAATCCGCCGGCGCCGGGGACAGACAGCTGGCACACTGGCCGGCACATGCTTCACACCGGGCCCCGATGGCCGGCGTGGCGCCATGCTCCACCGCGAAGCCCGGCGGACATAGCGCCACGCAGCCCACCCCGCTCAGGAGACTCAGCCCCTGGCGGCAGGCAAGGCACTTGTCGGCCTCGGCCGACTTGTCGCACGAATGGCAGGTTGCATGGCAGCCGGTGCAAGTGGGCCCGGTGGGGCCAAGCGCATCGACAAACTCCCCCAAGTCGCACTCCTCCACGCAAGTGGCTCGAGACCGAGCCATCAGCAGGGGCCCCGCACAGGAGGTACAGTGGTCGGCATGGCCGTGGCACGTCTGGCAAGCCGGGCCACAGGGGCGACAGATGCCTGCCTCCATGAAGAAGCCATAGCCACACTCGGAGACACATCCATGGGTCGGATGGAGGGCCATCCCCGTGATGCATGTGGCACACTGCCCCGGCTCGGGCCCAGTACAGGACACACACCCAGCCGCGCAGGCCTCGCATGGAGAGGCCTCCGCCTGGGCAAAGGTCCCGGCCGGGCATTCCGACACACAGCCACCCTTCCAGGGGTGGGGCGTCGGCGGACGGCACGCAGTGCACTGGTCGGCTGCCGGCCCCGAGCAGGAGGCACAGCCTTCATGGCAGGCAGTGCACTTGCCAGCCACCGGCGTCATGTCGCCCGGGCAGGAGGGCAGGCACCGGCCAGCATGCAGGTAGGCACCGGCCGGGCACACGTCACACTCGTCCTCCCCCGGGCCGGTGCATGTCAAGCAGGAGGCAGCACATGCCTGGCACTCGCGGCCCCCTTCCGACAGGGTCATGGCCACTTCGAAGAAGCCCAGGCAGGGGCAGGAGGGCAGGCAGCGGCCGCCCTCAAGGACATGGTCCGCCGGGCAGGACAGACAGGCCCCCGCCAAGTGCGATGTGCATGTGGCACACGACCCATGGCAGGGCAGGCACGCGTCCCCGCCCGGCGCGGGGTATGTCCCGGCCGGGCAGACATCGACACACGTGGCATCCAAAGACAGGAGCTTACCCGGCCGGCAGGCCAAGCAAGCCCCATCATCGGCGGGATGGCATGCCTGACAGGACGAGTCGCAAGAGGTGCATGTGGGACATGCCGGCGGGGTGCAGACATTGCCCTTGGACAGGCGCCAGCCCGGCAGGCAACTTTGACACTTGGTCGGGGAGCCGGAGCAGGTGGCACAGGCAGCCGAGCAGGGAACACACCCGGGAGCACCGCTCGGACGGAATGTCCCACTCGGGCAGGTCGACACGCAGGTAGTCCCATGCAGCAGCAGCTTCCCGGTGCATGTAAGACACTCGGTGGCCAGGGGCCCGGTGCAGGTGGCACACGAGCTGTCACACCGGATGCACTGCACGCCGGAAAGGTCGGCCTGGAGGCCGGCTCGACAGGCCCGGCACACGGCATCCGGCTGGGCCGTTTCGCAAGCCATGCAGCCGGCATCGGCACATGGCCGGCAATCGGCGGACCCGACAAATGCCGGGCCCATGCCTTCGGGACATGTGCGCACACACTCGCCAGAGGGGCTTCGCAGCCAGCCGCCCATGCATTGGATGCACTCCGACGCCGAGGGGCCCATGCAGCCGGCGCACGCGGCATGGCAATCGTGGCACTGGCCAGGCACCCCGGCCGGAAGGAAGCGATTCCCCACACAGCTGGGGCATTTCCCGGCCTCGGTCGTGGCCGCGAGACAAGGGACACATTGGCGGCCATCATTTGCCAGGGCAAAGCCCTCCAGGCACTGGGCCACACAGGCGCCCGACTGGAGGACAGCCCCCCCGGAGCAGGCAGCGCACAGACCAGGCCGCGTGGCCGAGCAGGCAGCGCAGCCGGCCCCGGGACAGGCCGCACACCGAGCCGGCGACACCGGCATGCCGGTCGACTCGTCAGCCACCGGCAGGTAGCCCGGCTGGCAGACACAGCGCCCAAGCTCCGGGGCCATGCCCACCGGGCAGGCACAATCATCGGCCCCCGGATGCACGGGCATGGCATGCTGGATGCACTCACAGGCATCCGGACGCCGGGGATCCACATGGCGCAGGTGCCCGGCACAGGCGACGGGCCCCGGGCCGGGCCGACCAAACACACGCACTTCCACCAGCAATGGGGCCATCTGACGATCGACCTCCAGCAGTTCCACCTGGCCGTCGCCATCCAAATCCATCAAGTGGAAATCGATCGGCCCGCCGAGGAAGGGCCGCTGCGGCCGCATGGGCACCCGCCGGAAGGACTTCTCGACCGGACTCCGGTGCACGTAGCCCGTCACATGGCCCGCCTTGGAGCACATGACGACCAAATCCCTCCGACCATCACCATTCAGGTCCATGGTCCAGAACCTCGGGGCGTAGTAGAGCCGAGCCGGCTCCAGGACCAACACCGGGCAGCCGCCGAAGTCCGGACGGCCTGCCACGAGGCCCGACCCGGGCGGCGTATCAAGCCAGGGCTGATCCATGCCGGGATGCCAGCATGCACGCTCGAGCAGACACTCCATCGGATGCAATGTGATGCTGTTGGGCCGGTCGTCCGACCAGGCCAATGCCAGCCAGGGCCGATCCCCCAGGGTCGGCCGATAGACAACCGGCTGGACCAGGCTCTCGGGCGCCGACGGCAGGGGGATCACGCATGTGCCCGTGCTGGCCGAATAGAGCAGCACACCGGCCGGCGTGTTGGAGCTTGGCCGCGAGCCGGAGTCCTCCGACTGGGCATGGGCCGCCGCAGGGTCAGATGCCAATTCCGGCATGAAGGTCGTCAAGTCCGACACGGCCAGCGCCACGAAGAGGTCCGGCGTGGCCAGCCCCGGAAGCCAGCCCGACTCCCAATGCAGCGGCATTTCATACTGCAGCGGCTGCTCGATGTACACGAAATTGGTGGGATTCGCCTGCGGCGGCTCCAGGCCCAGGATTTCCGCCGGAGCCACCGTCACCAGGGACCGGACGCCGTACAGACCAAGCCGCGCGAGCAAGAACACGAAGGGATGGCGCTCGGTGGTCGGGTGGAGCAGCGGGAAGAGGTACTCGCTCAGTGGCTCTGGCAGGGGCAGGGTCAGCATGTGTCGCCGGGTCGGGCCATAGGGCGCGGGACCCGGCCGACGCGCCGCACTGGGCAGGAGGGACTTCAGCACCACCTGCGGCGTGACCGGAAGGGCTTGCCCCTGTCGGAAGGCGAGCACCCGCGTGTCGCCGGGGCACAAATCAACCCTCAAGTCGCTCGACAGCTGGAGGATGATGTCCCCGAAAGTGGCCGTATCGCCAAAGACGAAGTTCTCCACCGCCGACCGGGGCCCATTCGATGGCAGGAGGATATGCATCATGTCGTCGCCATGCTCGTCGGTCGGGGCGGCCGGGGCGTCAAGATCTGCCGTTCGACTGGCCGCGCGTTTCTCCTGAAGACGCGTCAGCCAAGGCCGGGGGACAAATGCCCGAGGGGTGCCAATAAGAGCATGTGCCGGCACCAGGTCCCCCGAGTTCATGGCGGTGGCGAGGGCGGCGAAATTGTCCTCACCCTGATCATCATCATCATCGTCGCCATTTCCATGCTTTGGCTTGCGTGGCTTGCCCGGCTTGGGTTTGCCGCCCTGGTCGTCCTCGCCCTGGTCGTCATCATCATCATCATCATCATCATCATCATCATCATCGGTGTCGTCGTCGGTGTCGTCGTCGGTGTCGTCGTCGGTGTCGTCGTCAGTGTCGTCGTCGGTGTCGTCGTCAGTGTCGTCGTCGGTGTCGTCGTCGTCATCGGTATCATCGCCGCAATCGCTGTCACCACCGCCGTCAGTCTCATGGCCGCTGTCACTCTGATCGCCACTGCTCTGGCCGTCATCGCCGCTGCTTTGATCATTGTGCTCGTCGCTCTGGTCACTGCGGGCGTCGCTGTCCTGGGCCTCACTGTCTTCCTCATCGCCGGTGCTCGGAGGGCAGCCATTCTCCGCGGTAAGATGCTGCACAACATCCGGAACGCTGATGACACGCGTTTGGGCCGGCAGACCATCCACGCGAAGGTGGCCAACTGGCACGAAGATGGCATCGGCCCGAAGGGCCGACCCACTGCGTGACATGACCAGCAGATGCGGAGACGCCGCGGCCACCGGCTGCAGAGCCCCGGCGTCGGCGCCCAGGCGAACCGGACGAGTAAAGTGCAGCCCAGCGATTTGCTGCTGAGCCCACGAATCATGCAGCGGGAAGTCATCCAGCAGCTCGAACACCTCACCAGGCAAGGCCTCAACACAGCGGCCCCCTTCGGACGGCTGGTCGTCGGTGTCCGAGCAAGTTGTCCGGCACTGGCCATCCGTGGTCAGCACGAACCCGGGCTCGCACTCGAGGCAGCGTTCCGGAATGCACAGCCGACATTGCTCGAAGTGGCAAGTTGTGCAGACTATTGTCAGGAGGATGGCGGTGAGGGTGGTGTCATCGATGTCATGTGCGTGTGCGCGTGCGTGCGCACATTCGGAGATCAAGAGGTCAGTAAACAAAGGCAAAAGAGGCCGATGCAGGGCCAGCAATCAAGTGGCCGCATGTTGGGGGGGGGGGAGCGCACCACCATCTTCATCGCGCGATAGGCACCACGTGCAAAGGGGGGCCACGTCCGACCCCAAGCTGGCAAGGCCGGACGAGCACCGACACAAGTCCGAAACCTGGAGGTTGGTCGGGGCAGCAGGGTTCCCCGAGCCGCCGCCGCCGCCGCCGCCGCCGTGCAGGGCATCGGCCAGCGAATCGCCCCGTTCAAGCTGAAGACGCCATTTGGCCGGCAGGTCACACTGCCCGACCATGCCGCATCCACAGCCATTTTCGGGGGAAGCCAGGCGAAAGACCGCCAGCGCACCGGACACCGAGTTGTAGAGGGCCACAGTGGGCGGGGCGTCCGGGCCTTCCGCTGCAAAGGCCCGCACCCGGGTGGCCGTGGGATTGTCGGCCAGCGCCGCGAAGACCCGGCCATCCTGGTGGCGCGGAACAAAGGGCTCCAGGTTGACAGCCAGACGGTCGCTGCTGTCGGTCTGGCGCAAATCCGCCACGAAGGCCCATTGACCATCCCACAGGAACAGCCGCTGGACCTCGGCCGGCGCAGGGCGGGGATTCACCTCCACGGCAAAGGCCTTCGGGGCTCGGTTGCTGGCGTAGCCCAAGTGGCTGGGAGACAGAACCGCGATCGGCCGGTCAAAGCGCGGCCGGTGCTCCTGACCGAGGGCGCGATTGCGCAGGAGCCACAAAAGCGGCGACCCGGGGCTCGGCTGGTTCACCGCCAGCAGAAGCCCCGGACGCGGCCCGGCGATCGACCCGACCACATGGAGCTGCCCGCAGGGGACATCCCCCTCGATGAGCGGCAGCCCGAGGGTGGTCCCGGCCGGGGCATGGTGCTCATGGCTGGTGGCCGGCACCCAAAGCAGCTGGCAATTCTTGCCATCCGGCTTGCCGGAAGTGCTGACCAGCATGACCAGGCGCTCGGGCTGATTGGCACCCGGGTCCTGGTCCAGTGCCAGCCATGCGGTCGAGTGGACATGCGCCTTGGCCGGGGCAAGCCACCGACGTCCATGCCAGCCGAGCAGCGTCACCGCCAGGTGGCCCCCGGCGATGTGGCCCATGCGCAAGTGTTGTGCATGCGGCCGGCCAGGACCGGCTGTCGGCAGGCCAGCTCGATGAACCCCGGTGCACAGGGGCGCGTCCTTGGGGTGGGGCCCCGAGCAAAGAAGCATATGCTCATCATCCGGCAGCACGACAGCCGTGGGCCCCGTCGAGGGATTGGACAATGGCCGAAGGTAGCGCGGCTGCCAGGCGGCGTGGGCCTCCATCTTCTCCATCAGGAGATCCCCACCGAGGGGATGGACCGCGAAGGCCAAGGCCACCCCACTGGCAGATGTCTGGTCGCCCTCGGCCGGGAAGAGGAGCAACCCTTCGGGGTGATTGCCCAAGGAGCCAGACGGCAGCCGCAGTGTTTCCACATCCGCCAGCTCCTGGATGGTGGGCAAATTGGCCGGTCCAGCGGTGTGGGGCTGCGTCACTTCGAGCGCCTCGGCGCCGAAGATGTAGTGCAGGAACTCCGGCACCGCCTGGTAGTAAACCGACGTCGGGCGCCGAGTGGACACATCCACCAGAGACTGGTGATAGGTACTCCGGCATCGACCGGCCTCGAGGAAACGACCATCGGCACATCCGGTGCATGCATACTCCCCGGGAGCGGAGCATGCTCGACAGGTGCTGTGACAGGGCCGACAGCGATTGTCTTCAAGGGAGTGGGGGAGCCGGGGGAGCGGGGAGAGCCGGGGAGCCGGGGGAGCCGAGGGAGCCGGGGGAGCGGGGGAGCCGGGGGAGCGGGGGAGCGGGGGAGCCGGGAGAGCCAGGAGAGCCGGGGGCGGAGGGCGGAAGGCGGGGGGCGGAGAGCGGAAGGCGGAAGGCGGGGGGCGGAGAGCGGGGGGCGGGGGGCGGGAGGCAGGGGGCGGGGGCGGGTCAGAGACACACAGGGAGGAGAGGGGACGGGAAAAGGAGGGCCAGGCGAGAGAAGCCAAGAGGAAGCATGCCAGTGAGGAGCGAGACACCCACCAGAAGAAAACCCACAGGCAGGGCGGCCGCGAGGGGGGAAACGCACCTTGCGCACGGTAGTGTCCGACACGACAAAACTCGCACGGGGCCAGGGGGAAGTCCGGGTCGGCGCTCGGGTCCTCGCAGGCGCATGTGGGGGCCGTGTAGAAGGAGGCACCACGCGCGCGCTGGCACACGCCGGCCGGGCCACACAGGCACCGGGGCGTGGCAGCCACCTGGCTCAGGAGGAAGATGTCTCCGCCGGTGGTCGAATGGGCCAGGGCCAAGTCCGGGTGGCCATCTGCATCGAAGTCGCCAATGGCCACCGACCGCCAGACGCCCGACGTGGACGAGTGGTCTGGCAAGAGGGGGCGTGCGCCGGCGTGCTTGAGGCCGCGCTCGGCAGGCTGGGCGTCCGGGCGGATCGGCCCCGGAAGCAGCCACACCCGCGAGCCAAATGCCAGGACCAAGTCGTCGGCGGAATGGCCGCTCAGTCGGCCGGTGGCGGCCTTGGGATGGAGTTGTGCCGCTGGTGTGGCTCGAAGTGCCGGGTCATTGGCCGACATGTCGCCCAGCGGCAGGGTCACCGGAGCCGCGAGATTGGACGACAGGAGAAGTGTCACCCGCGGGGGGATGCCCGACCCGAGGCCCGAGATGATGGCCAGATCCGAGGGCAGGCCGTCTCCATCGAAGTCCCCGACCAGCAATTGGCCAACGCGCAGGCCGGCCGGCAGGCGGAGGAGCTCCTGCAAGTGGGCCACCTGGCCTCGGGCGCCGACTTGACTCAGCCAAAAGACACTTTGCTGGGTGGGAGAATGCCCGGCAAGCGGGCCGGGGGACGGGGCCTCGGCGACCAGCACGGCATCCGCTCGGCCATCGCCATCCATGTCCGTGGCCCGGAGGAAGTCCAGCCGCCCGAGCTGCGGGGCCAAGTGCCGCACGGGCAACGGGTGGGCGGTCATCGGGCCGAGAGGGCGCAAGGTGAGCCCCTCGTGCGACCGGTCAATGGATAGCACCAAAACCGGCCGGTCAGGCCGGGGATCATGGCGGTCAGCCAGCAGGGCCGGCTCCACGGGCGAGTCCAACGGGAGGCTGACCGTCCGGCCGGCGCCATCGGCCAGCAGCAGGGTGCTTGGCTGCAGGCCGGCCACCGCCACCGTGTGGCCAAAGGCATTGGACATCACCGGATCGGGCCGGATCAATGGATGCGTCGCGAGATCGCCGACAAAGCGCCGATCCGGGCACCAAGCGGCCCGATCGGACCCGGACAGGAAGAGGGCCGGCCTGTCGGATGAGCCGGTCGTATAGACCGAGCCAAAGTAGCTCAGGTCATCTCGGCCATCCCCCGGCCCGAGGATCATGCGGTCGGCATCGAAGAAGTCGCAGAAGCGAATGTCCGCTCGGGAGACATCCCCCGGGGGCAGGGCACTTGGTGCCTGGGCAATGCGCCGCAGCAGATGGTACTCCGGATTGAAGGGCGTCGGGGGTGGCGACGTCGGGTGATGTGCCAGCACCGCGGAGGGGTGGCTCGCAAGTGCCAGTAGCATCGACAGTGGCAGCAGCAGCAGCAGCGCCATCGCAGGTGGCCGGCTGGGTGGCGGCCGGGAGCGAGGCCCAAAAGGCCGCATGCTCATAGCACGGGCGTGGGCGTCCACGGGAGTCGGGAGATGGGGGCGGGGGGGGAGAGAGGGATGAGAGGTGCGAACGAAAAGGCAGACAGGCCCCCGCAGACCAGAAGCTGGGGGGGCAGGGTGGGGGCCGGGCGGAGGGGCGGGGGGGGGGGGGGGGGGGGGGGGATGGGGGGTGCGCGATGATTGGGGGTGCGGGGGCCTGGGAGCCGCCACACAAGTTACCCCGGGCCGGCTGCATGATTCCCCGGGCGCCTCCTGGGCCCTGGGGCCGGGTCTCCTCCTCGCAGGTGGCCACGGAGGGGGGGAGGGATTGCGGGGGTCACTTCGGCGATCACCCCCCCTCCCCCCCAAACAGGCCGGGCGAGAATGTGGGACTGTCCTGTGGGAATCGGCGCCCAGACCTCGCGGCCGGTTGACTGCGCCGATATCCCCCCCCCCGCACCCCCCCCAGCCGGGTGGCGATGACAACCGCGACCACCGTGCCTCCTGTGGTGCCCTGGTCTGCCGGCCCGGGGCGCATATGCCGCCGCGATACGCCCCCCCCCCCCCCCCCTTCCGGGGACTGGCCCGAGAAGCGAGAGAAAGTGGCTTCTCAAACGGGGCACGGAGCGAGGGACATACCGGAGCCGGCCCGGTGGAGGCGCGCGCGGAAGCGCCCCGGCCGCAGGCTGGGGCTCGCCTCCGGATCCAGGGGTAGGCGCCATGAAGGTTGGCACTTGACACCAGGTGCCAGCTTTCGCCATGGCGTCGGCGGGACCGGCGGCCTGCGGCGGACCCGACCGGGGCAGGAACTGGGGTGGAAAGATCAGGGGCCGCACGTGGGGCGCTTGGTTGGCTGCCTCGGGCGCATGCGTGTACATGCACGCTCAGCCGGGCAAGTGTCGCCTCTCGCCCACCGCAATGGGCCGTCCTCTTGGGGGGGGGGGGGGGTGCCCGAGCCTCCTCCTGTCCGGGGCATCCTTCGCCCGCCCCCCCCCCCCCCCCATCCGGCCGAAATACCCCGCCCCTGTCGCACGCGACCGAGGCCCGGAGGAAATACCATACGGAGGAAGACCCCTCCTCCCCACAGACCCGGTTCCTCTGCAATCCACGGGGGGCCGGCAAAAAAAGCAATGTGTGATTGGAGTGGGACTCGAACCCACGCGGTTTCCCACCAGTGCCTTAAACTGGCGCCTTAACCACTCGGCCATCCAACCTGGACATGTTGCTTGACTCCCAGTTAATGCACCAAGTTCTTGCCCGCTCTCTCTCTGGCAGCTCGGCTCTCTGTGGGCTTGCGCCCTTTTCAGCCTTCCCACCTTCAGGCTGCTGCATCCTGCCTCAAGCGGCTTCTACTCGGCCGCGGCCCGCTTTTTTAGCATCTTGTCCCGGCGTTTCCTTCGCCTGTGCGCCCCCCCCCCCCCCGCCCTTCACGCGCCCCTCTTCATCCGCCACCCTGCTCGATCCCTTTCACGCCAGAAGATACCAGAGGACCACCCGAGTGGTCATCCAGCAAGAGCCGACACCAACCTCTCGGACCGTCCCCCGGGACCGGGTCTGATGGCCCCTCCTGACAAAGACACAAGCAAGTTGTCCGGTTGTGACCGCCGTGATGCCCCCGGGCACAGGAAGACGGCCTGGCCCCGTCGGCCCGCCAGTTGGTGCCCTTCCGGACGAGACGCGACCTCCCAGCGCACAATGAGCCTCGAGGCCACCCGACCATCGTTCGGGCGCTCACCGACCGGCAGCAGAATGGTCAAATCGCCCGCGAGTAAGTGTAACCCTAGCCCAATTGGGCTCTCCTTGCAAGTGAGACAATCTCCCTCGTGTCAATTAACGGCAGGCTTAATTCACTCCTCTGGCTGGCGTGACCACACCCGAGGGCGAGGCGCGGGGGGGGGGGGGGGGGAGGAAACAGCGAAACACAGGCACCAGGAGACAATGAGTGTATGGGAAGAAAGTGCATTGCATGTTGGCTGTGAAAGATCCCGGGCCTTCGAGTGCTCTGCAACACTCAAGGGGCCGCCTGTTGGCTCGTGGTCAGCAACCCTGCCAATGCCTCGGCCAAAACCGTCACACTGGGGCGCTCAAGCGGATCGGCCGCCCATGCCCCGCGGTAGATCTGACGATACTCCGCCATCCAGGCCGGCTCGCTGCCCGTGTCGC